ATCTCCCCTCAGCCGTTGGAAGCGGCGAGAACGAAAGACACCAACCGCCGCCCCCGCCCCCGCGTGGCTCGAGCCCCGGCCCCTCACCTCATGCCGGCCTCAGCCTGTCAGGCCTCCAAGGCGCGCCCCCCTCATCATCAGCCGCCGCCGCCGCCGAGGAAAGCCGGAACCGCGTGACGGAGGGAGGGACGGAGGGAGGCCGGCCTTGCTGCCTCGCCGGCCCGGCCCCGTCAGGGCCGAGGCGCCGCCCTCCAGGCGGTCCCTTCCTGGCGTCTCAGCTGCGGCCGCGCCGGCTCTTTCGGCCGGGAGGCTCTTCGGCATCATGGAAGCGCCGCCGCCTCCTCATCCTCCTCCTCCTCCGGCTCGCCCGCGGTTCGGGAGCCTCAACTGGGCGCGGGGCTGGTACCTGTCGGCTCAGGAGCTGGAGGAGGGAGCCCCGCTCCTCTCGCCCGGGCTCCCCGGCGGCTGCGGCAGGGTGCGTGATGTTGTCCGGGCTGGGTCGGGTCACGCAATGTTCCCTCTAAGCTGTGGAGTCTTGTGAGCAAAAATTCTACTTTGTGAGCTACTTGGCATTAAAGTTGTGAGGGAGCCATTTGGCTCCTGCATAAATTAGAGCTGCGGTGGCTCAAGTGGTTAAGACGCTGAACTGCAGGCTGTGGAAGGTTCAGCGGTTCGAGACCCGAGTGTGCCGCAAGACAGGGTGAGCTCCCGTCTCTAGTTCCAGCTCCTGCCAACCTAGCAGTTCGAAAGCAAGACATTGCAAGTAGATAAATAGGGACCACTTCGGTGGGAAGGTAACAGCGTTCTGTGCGCCTTGGTGTTTAGTCATGCCGGCCACATGACTACGGAAAAGTCTTCGGACAGCGCTGGCTCTTCGGCTTTGAAACGGAGATGAGCACCGCAACCCTAGAGTCGGATTCGACTGGCTTTCGAGCAAGGGAACCTTTACCTTTACTTTAAAGCCATCCTTACTGAGCTCAGACAAAAATGTGTGAGCCGGAGGCTAAAAAACGGTGAGCTGGCTCACACTAACTCAGCTTAGAGGGAACACTGGTCGGGTTGTGTGTGAATGGGGTGGAGGGAGGGATGGGGCCGGGAGAAAAGCGCTCCGGGGACCCCGCCGCCTTCTCGGCAAGCCTCTTTGCAGCGCCCTCTCCGAAGCAGCATCAGCATCATCAAATATTCCCGTTCGGGGGTTCTTGTGGCTGGGAGGGTGGCGAGCCTTACAACAGCCCTGCGGAGCAGGCCAGCGGCTGGGGGTGGGTGGGGGTAAAGGGGAGGCATTTATTGAATTCGATTTGTATCCTGCCCTCCTTGCCGAGGCGGCTCACATTAAAAGTTAAAGTATTGAAACACCGATGCATCGACAGGATGCAGCATCGTAAGAACTCATAAACCTAGCAAATCGGGAATACAGGTAAAGTGCTGATGGTGGTAAGGACTGAGCAAGAGTCCAGCAGGGCATGACCTTGCATGAGTCACTGTTCTGAAGAAGTGAGCGGTGACTCACCTACCCTGCCGTATATTCTGTAAATTCTTTAAGGTGCTCCTGGACTCTTGCTCTTTTCTACTGCTACAGACAAAGGCAGCCACCCATGAACGTGAGCCCCGACTCACGAAAGCTCCTCCCCTGCCACATATTTTGTTAAGTCTTTCAGGTGAGACTGGACTCTTGCTCTTTTCTACTACCTGGTGACCCATCTTGATCTAGAAGTGAGCCGTGACTCGCCGGAAACTCCCCCCCTGCAACAAATGTTGTTAGTCTTTAAGGTGCTCCTTAAACCAACAAAGTTTTATTCAATAGTCCATGTAGTCCAGCATCCTGTCTCACACAGGGGCCAACCAGTTCCTCTGGAGGGCCCTGATGCTGCCTCCTGGCTCTGGGGTTCAGAGGCTGACTCCCTCCTCCTCTCACAGCCGCTTCAAAGCCAGTTTGGTGTAGTGGTTAAGTGTGCGGACTCTAATCTGGGAGAACCGGGTTTGATTCCCCCACTCCTCCACATGCATCTGGCTGGATGGCCTTGGGCAAGCCGTAGCTCTGATAAGAGCTGTTCTTGGAAAAGAGCAGTTTCTGTCAGAGCTCTCTCAGCCCCACCTACCTCACAGGGTGTCTGTTGTGGGGAGGGGGAGGGGAAGGGAAAGGAGTTTGTAAGCCGCTCTGAGACTCCTTTGGGTAGTGAAGGGCAGGTTATAAATCCAATCTCCTCTTCTCTCTTCTTCAAGATATAATGGGAATGTAATTTAAGTGCATATCCCAAATGGGCTGCCCTTAATAGCAGCCACTTCTTTCGTTGGAGATGCATGCTTTTAAAGGTATTTGGGAATCTGCACGTGAGAAGCAAAATGGCTTTTCATCAGCCTTTGGGCTCTTCTGTTATGATGGTTTTCCCACAAGGGAAGGCTTCTTCGTGTTTAACTCTTTGTTTGGTTTGAATTTTTGCAGAGGCCGCCGAATCATTCGTCACCTGGCACTTCCTTTGGTTTCTCAGTCTTTAATCTCATGAACGCTATCATGGGAAGTGGGATTCTTGGATTAGCATATGCCATGGCGAAGACAGGGATCATTGGCTTTAGGTACGTTGCTAGCATCAATTTTAGTTTTTTTTTTTTTTTAACATTTTATTAATTTTTCCAAAAATTAAACAAAACATACAATATTTAACAATAACGTTTAACCAATAACAATGATAAATACAAAATCCATAGAATCCACCTTCAAGCTTGGCATTCCTATACATTATAATGGTCCCCTTCTTTGTGTTTAGGAGCTTAAGATATACCTAAAAAGTGTAACTATAATAATATCATTAAATTACAATACCCAACTATGACGGATAAAAGAATAGTATTGAGAATGTTGCGAACTACTAATATTTTCTACTACTTGTTCCAATTTCTTCTAACCATGTATTGCATAGTGACTTATATAATTTTAGTTTTAAGTACTCAGAGAGACCTGGTGCGTACACTAGATGAGAATGTGTAAATGGGGGGAACGAAATCATACCCACACTCAGCCTGTCTCTTCTGTACATTCGTTATAACAGTTTAAAGAGTCTGTTGTGTATAAACTTGCATAGAAATTTCAGCTTTCTGGGTGCATGACCAGAAACCCTGGCTTTTCAGGGACCTCTTCCCCTCCCCGTTCATTGTGCTGTATACAATTTCATTTGATTAATCCTTGCCTCAAGAATGGGGATTTTCCAAATGCTGCAGAGGTACTGTGTGATGTTTCTCAAAACGCATGAAAGTATGCTCCAAAATTGCAAAATACCAGTTTGCTATCCCTGGCTCTCGTCTGTCTAACTCTAACCACCAAAAATTAGTTCAAAGGGAAAGGCCTCAGGTTTTAGGCACCGGTAAGTCTCCAACGGCTGTGTTGACTCAGTAGTTAAGACGCTGAACTGCAGGCTGGAAGGCAGTTCAGCAGTTCGAGACCCGAGTGCCGCTTGACAGAGTGAGCTCCCGTCTCTGGCCCCAGCTCCTGCCAACCTAGCAGTTTGAAAGCAAGAAATTGGAAGTAGATAAATAGGCACTGCTTCATTGGGAAGGTAACAGTGTTCCGTGCGACTCGATGTCTAGTCATGCCGGCCACATGACCACGGAAACGTCTTCGGACAGCGCTGGCTCTTCGGCTTGGAAACAGAGATGAGCACCGCACCCTAGAGTCAAATTCGACTGGCTTTCGAGCAAGGGGAACCTTAACTTTTACCTTTTTAAGTCTCCAAGGGGAAGTACGTGTGTATTTGTGCATCAGTCAACAGAAACGCCTTTCTGGGTTCTGGGGGGATACAGTTGCCAGCCTTCATGTGGTTCCTGGAGACCTCCTGGGATTACAGCTGTTGTCTAGAGATCAGGATGGGTAGCCGGGGCCCCGGTCACATGGCAAAGTTGCTGCGGGAGAGGCATGGGAGTCCCGTGGATTTTCCGGGCGTGATCTCACCTCAACATCTGGGAAACGCAGTGCTCCCGTGGCGAACCTGTGGCTCCCCGCTGAAGGTGCGGAGTTAGAAACTAGTACCTACGAGGTACTAGTTTCCGGAAACTGCGGGGCAAGGGCGGGCGTCTGACTGCGCTTCCGGTGGAATTCCGTGGCATCTGTCCCGTCGCAAAGAAGGGTTTTTTTCCCCAAGTCTCCACAGGATGCGCACAAGCACCCAACGGAGCATGCGCACAAACAGGAAGCGGCGTTTGCCACAGGAGCCACGCGGCGCGAGTGCCGGTTTGAACACGCCGTGCTGCTTCTTTGCCGCGCTGCAGTCTAGCCGTCTGATCGGGCTGCCACACGTTATTTTCCTCCGAGGCAATTAGCCACGCCCCCCCCCCCCCCATTTTCCGGCCCGGGTTAGTCTGTCCGTAGCCGTAGAAAATAGCAAGCACCCAGGATCACCTTGAAGACTGACAAAATTTGTGGCAGGGGAGGAGCTTCCATGAGTCACTGCTCACTTCTTCAGATACCTGAAGAAGTGAGCAGTGATTCACGAAAACACATGCCCTGCCACAAATTTTGTCAGTCTTTAAGGTGCTCCTGGACTCTTGCACTTTTCAGTTCCTCTGGAGAAAACGGACTCTTTGGAAGGTGGACTCAGTGGCATTATGCCCTATTGAAGTCCCTCCCCTCCTCAAACCCCGCCCTCCTCAGGCTCCACCCCCAAATCTCCAGGTATTTCCCAACCTGGAGGTGACAACCCTCTGTGTGGGCCTAGCATAGAAATGGTGTTATGAAGAAGGCACTCTCTTATCAGTGGTCAGATTTGCAAAAGGCTTGGAGAAAGGCAGCCTCTTGCATTGTGCAGGTGCAAAACACTCAGTCACATTAACTTCAAGCCAAACTCCATCTACATAGGATTATTAGCCCACTTTCTCACTGAAAAAGCAAGTCAGCTAGATACACGTCACTGCTGACTTTAAGGAAAATTGCTCATTTCCACACCACCACCATAAAGAACGCCTTGCTAAAATCACAAGATGCTGCTCAGAGAAACATGTCTCAGTGACAGAGCATATGCTTCGTATGCAAAAGGTCCCACTTTCAGTTCCTGGCACTAGGAGAAAATATACAGAGATATTTACAGGCTTATTGAACAGCATGTCGTGCCTTAGTCTATGAGAACTAAGTCCCCACCATCTTACTAAGCTGATAGCTATTATGCTAAACCCCAGCCAATCTCTAACAAGGTGATGTAATCACTAACTCTAACAAGACCTGAAAGAGCGACACCTGCTAGAAAACACCTAGCTGTAATTACATGATTACTAGCATGACAGCTAGGTCTGACAAACAGATCAAACTGATCTATAGTAACTGCTTGCTACCTCTATCACGCTGACATATATCTCAATAGTCTCAGTGACAGAGCATATGCTTCGTATGCAAAAGGTCCCACTTTCAGTTCCTGGCACTAGGATTTACAGGGTCTCAGATCAGAGGTACAACAAAGTTTGAGTCCAGTGGCACCTTTAAGACCAACCAGGTTTCAGTCAAGGTGTGAGCTTTTGTGTGCACGTACACTTCTTCAGATACCTTCTTCAGATGCGTGCACACAAGAGCTCATACCTTCGTTCTACTGCTTCAGACCAACACAGCAACCTTCCTGAATCAGATCAGAGGTGTTAGCAAAGATCTGTGTTCTGCCTGAGACCCAAGAGAGCCACCGCCAGCCAGCGCAGGCCACACTGGGCTAAATGAATCATAGAATTGGAAGGGACCTCCAGGGTCATCTCGTCCAACCCCCTGCACAATGCAGGAAATTCACAAATACATCCCCTCACACACACCCCGGTGACCCATTCCCAGAAGATGACAAAAAAAACCCCTCCAGAATCTCCAGCCAAATTGGCCTGGAGAAAAATTGCTTCTGGACCCCAAAGTGGCAATCGGCATTTTCCTGGGCGTGTATGAAAGGGCCACGGGAACTAAGCACTGATGCAACCCTTCCTGCCCTCCGTCTCCTGAACTGCCCAAATTCACAGAATCAGCATTGCTGTCAGATGGCCACAGCCTTTGTTTAGAAACCTCCAGTGAAGGAGAGCCCACCTTCTCCCGAGGAAGCCTGTTCCACCGAGGAACCGCTCCAACCGTCAGGAAGTTCCTCCTAACGTTTAACAGAAAACTCTTCTGCTTTAATTTCAACTCACCGTTGGTTCTGATCCGGCCTTCTGGGGCAACGGTTTGTACCGGCAGTTCGGCTTGCTATAGCACAGCTTCATTTTTGTCATGTTCCAAAGAGCGTTTTTGTTATTCCCAGCGACAGAATTCTTGTTTTTCCTTGTTTCGTCACGTCTCTGTATGACAAAATTGTGCAAATTCACATTGCTGCTGGTTGCTCCTGAAAGCTGGAAGCAGGTCCTTGGGCTACATAGAGGCCACCAAACCAGAGCGTTGATTGCATTTTGTCCTTCTCTGTTCATGGCTGGGGGGCTGAGGGGCTACTGCTACCCACCGCTGGCAAACTGATAAGTTGCTAATTAAACTCCTGCAGAGTGCAGGGGGTTGGACTAGATGACCTGCAAGGTCCCTTCCAACTCTTAACATTCTATGATTCTGTTATTTAAACGGCTGACCTAAACTGTCCTTGAATCTGGCTCATGCTACGGAATCGTTATAGTCTCTCCCCTCCCCCACGCATGGTTACGATGCGATCTAATTTTAACACACCGAAAAAGTCAATGAAAAGCAGAACATGGAAACTACTGAGTAACCAGCAACTGAGTGATTTATGACTAACGTGATCCATAAAACGAGGAAATTTGTCTTATGATGATTTTTTTAGATTGTTATTTCTGGGAAAATACAGCCTCTCAGCTCTCCATTTAAAAAAAAAAAAGGATGCATATTGTTTTAAGCAGGAGGGAAGGCAGCATGCTGTAGCCCAATCTTCTTAGATCTTGGAAGCTTAGCAGAGTCCACACTTGCGAAGGGAGACCACCAAGGAAGAATCTGCAGAGGAAGGCCATGACAAACCACCTCTGCTTCTCACTTGCCTTGAAGAAGAAGAAGGGATTAGGTTTATACCCCGCCCTCCATTCAGAGTCTCAGAGCGGCTTTCCCTTCCCTTCCCCTCCCCGCCACAGACACCCTGTGAGGTAGGTGGGGCTGAGAGAGCTCTGAGGGACCTCCTCCTGAGAGAACTTGTGACTGACCCAAGGTCACACCGGCAGCTGCATGTGGAGGAGTGGGGAATCAAACCCGTTTCTCCCAGATTAGAGTCTGTGCTCCTCACCACCTCATCAGTTGTGACTTGATGGCACTTTACACACACAAACTCTGTTAAGCCCGGCTTTGACCATTTGTTTGTTCTCTTCTAGCGTGCTGCTGCTGCTGGTCGCCGTTCTCGCAGCTTACTCTGTCTTCCTTCTGCTCACTCTGTGCATTCACACTGGTAAGTGGACAACCCGCGCAGTTAAAGGTTCCTGTACAAAGTTACAAAGGCATTCCAGCTTTGCAAAGCACGTCCCCAAGCCCGTGCAGTTTCTGTGAGTGGTGCAGGGTGGGTTCGTGAACTGCATGCTCGTGGAGGTGTGTGTTTTGGAACCTCCTAAGGCTGAATGCTAATGTATCCAAAGCATAGGCCGGGCCTGTTGGGCCTCAGTGTCGGCTTCCAAGAAGTGGGAGGGTAACCCAAAGTCACCCCCGATTTGAACACAATACAAGAACTCGTGGGCACTCAGTGAAATTGCTGGGCAGTCGGGTTAGAACGGATAAAAGGAAGTACTTCTTCACCCAAAAAGTAGCTCACACATGGAATTCACTGCCACAGGAGATGGCTTCAAGGGGAAATTGGATAAGCATATGGAGCAGAGGTCCATCAGTGGCTATTAGCTCTCAGTCTGGGACAAGGGATGCTCTGTATTGAAATAGTATTTATGTCAGATCCAGCCCTTGTAATAAATGAGCTCAACCCCTTTTCCCTACGGGGTTTCCACAGGTCAGCTGTGACTTGATGGCACGTTCTGCCACTGAGGGTATCACAGCTGCACCATGACCACTCGTGGGCACAGCCAGGACATTACATACAAAAGAAAGATATAACCACTCTAAGAGTGGTTGAGCAGTGGAACAGACTGAATCATATAGAATCGTAGAATGTTAGAGATGGAAGGGACCTTGCAGGTCATCTAGTCCAACCCCCCCCCTGCACTCTGCAGGAGCAGGGGTTCGGGAACAGCAATTTTACAGAAGGAAGTTACGGAGCTTCAAGCTCCTCCGTAGAGATTTGTGGCATTTCTTGGTAGACTGGCACACTGAGGGATGTCCCTTGCTTGAAGTCTTTTCAGTGGTGGGCAAACTCATTAGTCAAGAGAGCCAAATATCAACAGTACAACGATCGAAATTTATTTTGAGAGCCAAATTTTTTAAACTTAAACTATATAGGTAGGTACATTGTTATTAACTTAATTAGGGTACTCCTAAACTGGCCTTTGCTAAAAATGTCCTCAGTCTGATTGAGGTACGTTCGCTGAGGTCGACCCCTTCCAACTCTTCCATTCATACTCGTCTTGTATACTTGTTTCGTCTCCTTTCGTTCATCCTCTCTATATGTCCAAAGTATCCATAAAATTAAATCATGACAAAATAAAACATGACAAACACTAATGTGAACAATGGCCTTGCATCTCCTTGGAAAGTTTGGGTAAGTCAGGTTTGTATGTTGTTGTTTTTAATTTTAGGCATGCACTAGAGAGCATCGATATGTATGGCCTCGCTGGACCAGATTCAAGGGTCTTAGCTAGCAGCTAGCATTCTGTTCCCAACTACAGCCTTCCAGAGGCCTCCGGAAGCTCAAAGACCTGTTTGCCCTCCCCCATTCTCTCAACAGCATTTCATATTAAGAGGTTCAGTGTCCCTGAACGCAAGCTTGATTAAATTCACAATATATTTCATCTCTACAGGTTCCCCCCCCCCCAAACTTCCCACCCACATCTTGTGGCAGTGGCTTTCACAAGTTA